CGCCGCCGCCGCCTCCGTCTCCCTCCATCAATATCCTGATCACCGACCTCCGGCTAGGTATGATATTTTGACTTCAAGTTGTTGATAACGATGATGGATTTTTTGAAATTAGACGTGGGAGGGGCAAAAAAACAAAGATAATTTCTTTGTAACTGGCGGAATCTTCGCATTTGTTGCATCTCATTTTTCTGTTAATCGTTCCTGTAAAAGCTTTGTTCTTGATCGTAAACATTCATCGATTGGTACTGTTTTGTCATTTAAGATTATGAAATCTGAGATTATGAAGGTCGGAGACATGAATGGGCGAGATGACATGCAAATCGATGAACCGAAGGGGCTGGACCTCAATCATTTGAGACTTTACTATGGTAATTATTCGCAAATATATTTTTTGTTTAGTTCCTGCATAATTTTCAATTATGTAGCTCTATATGCCCATAAATTTATTGCCGAACAATATTTCAAAACAGCCCCGTTTCAATTTTTTTTAAAATCGACCGTTTTTTTATTTACCAAAACCGACCCGTTTTGTGCCACGTCAGCTTAATCACTTTTCTAAACAGTCGGGGTTGCCAACCCCGACTATTTAGGAGGGTTTTAAACCCTAATTAGAAGCCTTAAACCCTAAAAAATTATGTTCTAAACAGTCGGGGTTGGCAACCCCGACTGTTTAGAAAAGTGATTAGGCTGGCGTGTCAAAAAATGAGTCGGTTTTGGTAAATAAAAAAAACGGTCGATTTAAAAAAATAATAAAACGGGGCTGTTTTGAAAAATTGTTCATTTATTGCCCTTTCAAGGGGAAGGGAGGAAAGGAAAGTTTCCTGAAATATGAAGGCTTCTTCTGTACATATAATAGTGTATTTGAATCTTTTAAGTCTAATGATGGGTATATTCGTTGCGATTTAAATTTTCTGAACTTGGTGATAAATATAATCTCCAATATTTTTAACTATGCTTTGTCAATTTCTATGTTATAGGCATTTGTCTTCCTGTGTGTGCATTGAACTCTAAATCATGCTCTCATTTTTCGCGTTTTCTCCAAAAGTTTCTTTGTTGTTGAGAAATAAAGTGGTGGTAGTCCATTTTTATTTGCGCTCTCAGATTATGCCCACACCAATTGTAGCTTCTTTCCACAAACTTTGAAGTCGTATTGTGTTGTTTTCGAGATCATCTATCGTCCATACATGTTCATATTGTGCGCTATCATTATATATTCTTGACAAATTGTATTAAATTTATGTTGGTTGGCTTCAGAGAAATCTACATTAAGAAAGGATCTTGTTGTAAAAAGAGTCAATTGCATAATAGGTAGATGGAAAATAGCAAAAGAAAGAACAAAATAGTAAAGGGCACATGATAGCTTTGAAAAAATTGGTAGAACTTTATGGAGAAAGGTAGATACTTCAATATGGAAGGTGCATAGTAAACCAAAATGTTTAAAAGAATATTGCATTTATGTAGAACTATTTACTTTCCAAGGAGGGAAAAATTATCCCTTCCCTCCGAAAATGAAAAAAAAAACTACCATCTTACAAAATTTAGGTTAATCATTGTAAATATTATGCCAAACTTTATTAAAATTTTATTTTCAGAAACTTGTGCTTTTTGAAGGAAGAATTGTGATTTTCATTATATGGTAGAAGATGACAAACAAGGGGCACTATACTGATCAGTTAAGCAAATAATTTAGGAAGTTCTGACTTGATACTCAAGCAGGCACCTCTGGTAATAATTGAAGTTATTTTTATTATTTTTTGTAAAATATGCAATGAGAATCTTTACAGCCATTTACCATAGAGACACAATGTCAACTTTTTTTCTTTATCTGAAGGTTTGATGGAGAAATCTTGAATAATGACATTCAAATGCACTTTAGAGAAGTAGCATGTTGCAATTTGGATTGCTGTAAACTTCCAGAAAGCAATGATAATAGTACTTATACACTCAATTATCTAGAATGGTTTCTAAGTCTTATCGTTGGTATGGGATCTCTTGTAAGTTTTAGGCGGAGCAAAGATATATTCTAATGAAACTTTATATGTGATACCTTACTCCATCGTTCTTATTTCGTTATATTTTCCTTATAAAATATTGTGTTATACAAGTCTGCCGCAGCTATGGATACTTGGGTAGTCACATGCTCCCTCTACGTTTAGATAAATATAGAAGAAATAATTACTTCCTGAATGTGCCAGCAATACTTAAATCTGGGGTCTTTCGC